TTGACCGTGCGGCGGTAGCTGTTCTTCTCCGTGCCGCCGCGGCCCCGCGCCCCCTGCGCGCCTGGGGCCAGCAGCCCCAGCAGCAGCAGCAGCGGCAGCAGCAGCAGGAGCCCAGCCCGGGCCCGAGGCCCGCCCGAGGCGCGCGCGCCCATCCTGGGGCCGGCCGGATGCGCGATCGGGGACAGGGGTAAGGACCACACGGAGGGACGCCGCGGCTCCGGCGGGGACCGCGTTGGCGCGCTCGGGGACCGCGCACCGCACCTCCGCCCGCGCCGCCGCCGCCGCCGCCGCGCCACCTGCCCCGCCCCGCGCGCAAAGGCGCGACGGCCCTGCCCACGCCTCGCCCCGCCCCCAGATTCGGGACCCGCCGGCGACCTGGCCCGGGCGCGAGGGGCGGCTCTGAACCTACTTCTCTCTCTGCCTCCACCCCCTAGAAGCCCTCCCTTGACCTGGTGGGGCTTTAACCTTTTCTTCTTTTCAAATAATTTTTATTTTTAACTTTCCTATAAAACGTACCCCAAGCTTGTAAAAGTTGTAACAGACTCAACAGGGACAGTGACTCCAATTGATTGGAAAACATTAACTATATGTATTTTATTTGTCGCCGAATTTATGATGGGATCCAGTAATTGACCACCGTTGCCGATGGCGTGGGCAACAGCGTCTTCGCTCATTCTACAATGTTTAAGTCAAGAAAAAGCATCAAGCATCCTTCCTTCCCTTCGTGAAAGAACTGTATTTGAATGTCATAAAACAGTTGAGGACGGAAAGTTCTTTTTAGGAAAGTCCTGCCAGTAAGTGAGGAGGGATTGAGAGATTAGAAAATCAGAAATTAGAAAATCATTTTGCACTCCTTAATGAAATGATGGGTCCAGGTGATGATCATCAACAGACTAAGACCAAAAGGTGGCAGGTTGGTGGGAAACTCGAAAATGGAGAGGCCATGTGGTCCTGACCTGGACCCGCCAGTCTTAGTGGCAGGAAGTACCAGCGCCACCTATGGTGGATTCTTGCCAGAACACTGAGCCCTAACTTAATGTGGTTCACATGTAACCAATAGTTTACAGGAAATAGGGGGGATGGAGGGAAAAATTAGTAGCGGCAGAAGCGATCAGCCAAAGCCAGAATGTGGGGCATTCTACAGGACAAACGACCTAGTTTCTTCAATAAGTAATTGACATAAAAAATGAAAGCAGGGAGTTTCATTGGTTTTAAAAAATTTAAGAACCATAATCACCAAATGCCAGGCAAGGGCCTTGCTTACATCTTAAGTCAAACAAACCATGTCTAATCAGACATTCTTAGAGATAAACAGGAAAATAAAACTTAATTTTTGCCAACCCCAAAAGTGAAAAATTGTATCTTATTTTTAAACTTACATTTTTCTGGATTCCTGGTGAGTTTTTCATACATTCGCTGGCCCTATATTTTATCTTCTTTTTTTTTTAAGTAAAATTTTAAATAGAAGTATAGCAACCAAACAGAAAAATACACAAATCATAAGGTGCCTCTCTATGAATTTAAACAACACCCAAGGCAACTAGCACCTTGGGTTGAGAAAAGGATTGTTACCAGCTTTGCAAAAAAGGCTCCCTTTGTCCTCTCCGGTTCTCTATGTCCCCTCCAAGATTTAGGGGATTCCTTCTGCCTGTTTTTGAACTTTATGTAAGTGGGATCACAAAGTGTGATCTTTTGTGATTGGCTTTTGTTCAACATTATATTTGAGATCCATGTTGCTGTGTTTTTGTCTTTTTCTTTTTGCTTTACAGAACGTTCTTTATATTTTCTGGAGATAATCCCTTGGTATATAATATTTTAGAATAAAATATAGAATGTACTATTACCTACCTAATAATTTTAAGATGAACACACTTTTCGTTTACTTGAATAAATAAAGAAGAAACAGTGGCTCACTATCATCGTAAGCAATAAAACCCAGGAAAACACAGGCTTGATATGCTCATTATAACTTTCCCCCCCAAATCTTTTCAAATTAAAGCATGTTCACATGTATACTGTTTGAATCCTCTGATGTGCCACCTGTTTGCAGGGGGTTGTTTTGGGGTTTGCTTTTCAGGGGAAAAGGGGAGCCTATCCAAATTCAATCACATTCTTCATTCATTTATTCATTCTTACATTCAACAACTATTTATTGCTTACCTACTCTGCTGCCAGATCTTTTTCTAGGTTATTCAAATGTTTTTCCTGGGGAGGTAACTTTAAGGAACTTTCAAAAATAACTTCATCTTTTCTAAAATTCTAAGATAACTCCTAGTACCTTCACTTTTTTGTGATTTAAATGTTTGCCCTTAATGAGTTTTCTGCTTTTAACAGAAAAAAGGAGACATAATATAAACGTTCTATTCCCAGGCTAATAACAGGATTCAGAAAATATATTATTTCCGAATGTGCTACAGACAATGCGAAGTGGTAATGAGAATTCAAAGTTGTCTAATAGACGCCTTCTTCTTGGTTTTCCTGTTTGTCACTGTAATGGAAATATTTAGTGCCTCTTTGCTATACAATTAATGTTACTTGTAGGAATATCAGAAAATGCAGATAAGCAAGAAAGAGAGGAAAGAAGATTGTACTAGGGGCAGGGGTTTTTTTTTTATTGTAGGTACTGAGGATTGAACCCAGGACCTCCTGCATACTAAGCATGAGCTCTACCACTGAGTTATACTCCACTCCCCACCTAGGGTTATATTTTTAAAGGTGACGAAACACTCCCATTCCCAAGTAGACAAATTAATACTAGTAGATAATTCCGATTTAGGGGCTGTGACCACGTCGATGTGAGAACAGCCCTGGGCTTAAACTGAGGACTCTGAGGGGACCTCAGGCCCCGCCCCTTTTCTAACTTGGCCCCGCCCCCCACAGCCAGGCCCCGCTTTTCAGCGTGGTCCCACCTCCAGCCCCGCCCCTCGGGCTCTTAGTTAATCCCAGCTCTCGCGAGAGCGCAGCCCGGAAGTTTTTCGGCCTGAACCCGCGGTCTGGGAGCCCACGTGGGTTGGGTTTCAGGGTGTTCTGTTTGTGCCGGAGGCCGGTGCAGAGTAAGGTCGGGGCGCCATGGGAAAGCTGCGTCGGAGGTACAACATCAAGGGGCGCCAGCAGGCGGCCCCGGGCCCCTCGAAGGGCCCTCCCGAGCCGCCCCCCGTGCGGGTGGAACTGGAAGGTAAGGCGTCCCGGGACTGGGGGGTGGGTTTCGGGGCAGGGACCAATCAGGGCCTCGGGGCCAGGGCTGGCTGTTCCGGGACGGAGGGCTCCCAGTCAGTGCCCTGCCTCTGCGACTCTGGCGAGGCGGTCCAGAGAGACCACCCCCCACCTCAGATGATCCAGAGGAGCGGGAACGATAGTGACTGTTTCGTTTTAACTGAATTTGGAACAATACCTGGAGTTTCTTTCCAGTGGGGTCCAGTTCTAGTATAGCAACATGGGGAATTTGGGCAAGAAAATAAGGATAATTCCATCCATTCTGATGGCTCTGATTATAACCTCCCTACCAGGTCCCCTCAGAGGCCCCAGTTTAAGCCCAGGGCTGTTCTCACAGCGGTGTGGTCAGAGTCCCTAAATCGGAATTATCTACTAATATTAATTTGGCTACTTGGAAGGGGAGTGTTTTGACTCCTAAATTTGTATTTTTCAACCCAGACCTGTCTGCTTAGCTCCAGACTGCTTGACATTTCTGCTCAGACTCCTTTTTATTAGGAACGACTACTGTGTGCCGGGCACTATTCTGGGAGGATAACTGAGGAGGAGATTAAAGAAAACATCCCTGCCCTGCAGAGATTAGATGCTTATGGGAGGAGAGAAGCAAAGATAAACACAATTATATAGAATGTTGTGCAGATATAAATACTAAAGACATGAAGCAGAAGAGGTGTTTGCGCGGGTGCAGTGTTCTTCCATAGGATGGGCCGGGAAGACCCCACTGAGAAAGCATTGAATTCTTTCTTAAGACCTAAAGGCAGCCAGAATGGCTCAGTGGAGATGAAATTTAACATGGGGGCAGGATCCTGTAGGGCCTCCTGGGTCCTGGTGAGGACTATGACCCTGCAGGGTTTAGAGCAGAGGAGGGACACAGTGTGGACTTATGTTGTGACAGCATCGCTTTGGCTGCTGTATTGAGGAAAAGCAGTAGAGGGCAAAGAATCAGGGAGATGGAGTTGATGCTTGGACCAGGGAGGCAGCAGTAGAGGAGGTGAGAGGTGGTTGGATTCAGGATGTATTTTGAAGGTGGAGCTGGCAGGGTTTGCTGGCTGAGTGGACAAGAACAAAGGAAATCTCGAGAACGACTCCCAGGCGTGGGTCCAGTGGCTAGAGGAGGCTGGGGTGGGCATTCTTGTGGGGAGATCAAGAGCCTGGTTTTGGATATGAGTGGTTTGGGGACCTGTTAGATATCCAAGTAGAAGGGCAGGCAGGCAGCTGCAGGCTCAGACACTCAAGAGAGGCAAGTCCAAGGGAGAGAGCAGTTTGGAATCATCTGCGTCTAGATGGCATTTATTTAAAGCCCGAAGACTGGGCTGGCTCGTGCAGGGGAATGAGTCCAGCCCTGTGAGGTGGGAGGAGTGCGCTGGGAGAGTGTGGTTGTCCAGGGCCCACGAGGAGGACCCACCGTCCGTGTCAGGTGTTGCTGGGGGTTCAGGGAGGGAGGGAGGGAGAGGACCACTGGATGTAACACTGGGAGGCCATCGAAGACTTTGATGGGGCCAGTTTTAGGAGAGACTTGGGGAGAAGTGATTGAGCAGGTTCACTTGTCTTGCAGGCCCCTGAAATGTGACACATTTCCAAAATGGGACCTATCCTTATATGTGTTCCCTGAGGTCCAAGCCGATCTAGGTGTTAGGGAGGTGTGAGGTGGAGGGAGGGAGGGCGAGCCAGTGAGCCAGGACCACTGGAGAAAACGGCTTCCCTCAACCCACTCATCAGCCCCCACTTCCACACTCTTGTTGGACCCAAAGGCAGTGAGGCTGAGGGAAAGGTTGTCAGGGTGGGAATCTGGGGTCTGAATTCCCTCCTCAGAAGGTGCAGGGATAGGCTGGGAGTTGAAGCAGGTCACCTGACATCTCCGTGCCTCTGTCTTCTCAGCTGTCAAATGGGTCCAGCAGTAATAGCCATCCTACCTGCTCTGAGAGTTGTGGAGGTGGCATTTGGGGAGAATGTGTCTGTGATGGAAATGAGACTGCTTTGAAAAGTAAAGGCAGGCTGTGGAGATGTGACGTGACCTGTGGTGGGTGTCATCCGTTGTAATAGTAGTGACAGCTCAGGACATGAGAGGGCACCTCTAAGAAGGCA